CATTGGAGGAGGCTCACCGGCACAGACTGCTGGCGCTAACCTGACCTGATGGACAAACCGACGAAGCCCAAGAAAGAACGCTTGGTTCGGGTCGGGCGAAAGGGGGGGATAGCAAAGGGGGGGTTTGAGAATCAGCTCACGTAGCTGATTTTCCCGGCGCCTCCCGGCGCTGGAGGTGGCTATGTATCGAGGAATGCGGCCCTCGGTGAGGCCGAAACCAGCTGCATGCAGCAAATTTCGTACCCCCCCCTTTCCCAATCCCCCCCTTTCGCCCGGCCCGATTGGTGTCCGGACGGCAGGTTGGCTGGTCGAACCAGCTAATATTGTGTTGTTGTTGCTAGTCGGTCGCCTCTTGCGACCCCGCTTACGTAAGTCCGCAGTGCTGCTCCGTTTTCACACACGGCTCGAGATTTACGTAAGTCCGCATTGCTGCTCAGTTGTCACACCCGGCTAAAGATTTACACGTAAATCCGCATTTACAGAAGCTTCACTCAGTGTGCACAAGTTTTGTTTCGAAGATGTGATGACAATCGCACCTATGCAGATCATATCTCGGTAAGATAGCTGTTGTTTGTTTGGTTTTGTCGCTTCGCAATCGAACTCCTGCTATTGCTAGCCTTGCCTGTTTTGACTATGGCGCCGGCGGCGCTGAGAGCTGAGAATATCCTGCAGGTCGCGTGTAGCGCATCCGGTTAAGTGCCCCAAGGGCTGCCTGCAATGCAAGCCGTGTCGAGCCGTTTGCTCGCCTTCTGCCAGCACGCCTGGCACTCCGCTTAATGAAGATAGCGCCAGGCTTAATGCACGGCTGATCTTGCTCTGGCGCCTCGTGCGCCCGCCTGGCGCCGCTTGAGCACCGTGCAAAAGGCGTGTGATTCCAGAAGACTCGCCCTCTTCCGCCTCGCTTCCGCTCTCTCCCATGCCCGCTCTGCCCGCAACCGCTATTTCTCAAACAGGGCCCTTGGCCTTAGAGCTACGCCGGTTGTTCGAGCCGCGCTCACAGCAAAAGCATCCCCGGCGCTGCGCGCCGATCCATATCACAAAAGTCACGGCGGGAGGCTTTTCCCTGGCTTCGGCCTCCGAGGGCCCTCACCAGGCCCCATGACCGTCAAGAAATGCCTCGGGAAGAAAAACCGGTCCCGGGGGAGGGGTCCAGACCTCTGGGGGTCGACGTTGTGAAAAAATCACGTCGTCGCGGGTCTGGGTTTAGGTCGGGCATGTCCCCCTACTTGCGGTTTTGTAAAATTGAAACTGCAAAAAGAAAAGAAAAAAGTGCTCCAGAACATGTTTCAAACAAACATCGTCCCCATCGCATGTTTTGATTATGTTGCCACATTGCTCCTGTAGAGGGCCATCCCGACTTCAGTCTTGGTCCACAGCCTCCTCCGTCCCTCCTCTCTCTCTCTCTCTCGGCGCTGCCCACCGCCCGACGCGCGCGGACGCGGCCGGGGGCAGGGCGGGCCCAACCCGTTCTGGCCAGTCCCTCTCTTCCTCCTCCTCCTCCTCCTCCTCCTCCTCCTCCTCCTCCACTCCTCCTCCTCCTCCTCCTCCTCCTCCTCCTCCTCCCTCCTCCTCCTCCTCCTCCTCCTCCTCCTCCTCCTCCTCCTCCTCCTCCTCCTCCTCCTCCTCCTCCTCCTCCTCCTCCTCCTCCTCCTCCTCCTCCTCCTCCTCCTCCTCCTCCTCCTCTCCTCCTCCTCCTCCTCCTCCTCCTCCTCCTCCTCCTCCTCCTCCTCCTCCTCCTCCTCCTCCTCCTCCTCCATCTCCTCCTCCCCCTCCCCGCCTGCTCCTGCTCCTGCCCTGCTCCCTGCTCCTCCTCGTCCTCCTCCCTCCTCCTCCTCCTCCTCCTCCTCCTCCTCCTCCTCCTCCCCTTCTCCTCCTGCTCCTGCTCCTCCTGCTCCTCCTCCTCCTCCTCCTCCTCCTCCTCCTCCTCCTCCTCCTCCTCCCTTTCTCCTCCCTTTCTCCTCCTTTCTCCTCCTTTCTCCTCCTTTCCCTCCCTTTCTCCTCCTCCTCCTCCTCCTCCTCCTCCTCCTCCTCCTCCTCCCCCTCCTCCTCCTCCTCCTCCTCGGGTCGCCTACGGCCCCGGGGGAAACCGTGCTTGTCCAGGTCCTCGGATCCTCGCTCCTGCGTCATCTCGGGGACACGTTAGATCGAGTGCGCCAGAATTCGGGTTTGCCCTCGCTTTTTGACGAGCGCGTCCTGGATTTTGACGGTCCAATTTTCGTGGGATGTCTCCGGAGGTCCGTGGATGTCTCCGGAGGTTCAGGAGTGGCCTACGGAATCTTTTGAGATTCAGGGTATGGCCAAGAATTGTCCAGGTGGAGGGTTTCTCCGAAGGTCTTACGCGACCCGTCCTCCTCCTCCTCCTCCTCCTCCTCCTCCTCCTCCTCCTCCTCCTCCTCCCCCTCGTCTTTTCCTCGTCCTCCTCCTCCTCCCCCTCTTCCTC